GAGGGAGGGAGTGAGAGGGGCGGGCGACTGCAGGGCACGGCTGCAGAAGTGTTTTGCCGCCAGGTACTTTTGGACTGATGTATGTTCACGAGTATAGCCAACCCCTGTATCCCCAGCTAGATGCGCTCACTCACTCAGTGCACGGACGGGCTTCCTTTTTCGCGTGTTGCGGCGTGCGTCCGTCCGTGTGCATGTGCATGTAGGTGGGTGTTGGTGGCGTGTGTGGGTGCGGCTGTGTGTAGGGATGGAGAGAGCTTTTGCCGTGCTGTGCCGTGCTGTGGCGTGGGTGCGTGCCTCCCTGCCTGCCTGCCTTTGTTTCTTCTTCCCTGATGACGACCATACCATATACCTGTCTTATCTATTTGTCCCGGGAGTGAGTGAGTGGCCGAGTGAATGAATGCGTTGGCGAGTGAGTGACTTCAGTCTCTGTCTGTCTGGCTGAATGAATGCTGTCTGGCTTGATGGGCGGGCGGGCGGGCGGGTCCGCCCTGATGTACACCCTATCTCTGTCTGTCTGTATCTACATGTACACACATCAGTAAGTCTCACATACCATACGTTTGTTTGTGGAAACACGACACAGGGAGGGAGGGAGGCGCTCGAGAGTGGACAGGGCCTGTCTGTCTGTCTGTCTGTTTCGCTATCTAAGTCACAACACAACATAACACAATACCACGCACAGTTTTTTTGCCTCCTCAGTCCAGTCCGCCTCACTCTTTTGTACAATTACATACATACACACATTGGTACCGACCCACCTGCACACCTGCACACCTGCACACGACAACAGTGACAACAGTGACCGATGACACACTGACACTGACACACTGACTGTTCGCCAGCCAGCCTGCCTGCCTGCCTGCCTCCATTTGGCGACCGCTGCCTGGTCGATACTTGGCCGGTTCTTTTTTAGGAGCGGCCCGCCTCATGTCGGCGGGGTCAGGCGGGCGACCGGCTGGCAATTCGTGGATGGAATTGGTGCTATGGATGGAATCTGAATCTGATGGTGGTGGTGGTGGTGATGGTGATGGAATCAATTAACCATCCTGTCTGCATGGCATGGCATGCGTGGGTGGGTGGGTGTGAGAGTGCGTGGGGGGGTTGGGGTGGGTGCGCCCGCATGCGGCAATTAAACGGCTCCTCTTGGGCAGGGGGGCCCTTATCTTTTCCTAGGTAGATCGTGTGTGCATGAGGGCTTGCAAGCTGTCTTGTGCTAGCTAGCTAGCTGTCATGCTACGGGTGCCATCCATCTGATCCACCATCTGTCTCTCATCCACCCGCCCCACACTCTCTCTGGACGGCTGGCTGGCTGTGGCTCTGTCTGTGATTCTTGCTAAGCGTTTCGCACTCATTGATTCTTTCCATCCGTCCACCTCACCTCTCTGACGCCGATGTCTCCCTGCCTGCCTGCCGTGATTGATGGCTTCGCACTTTTGACAACAACAAACGTGTCTGAATCGATTTTGCATGGCTTGCTTGATTGATTGACTGATTGTACCCCTCGTCGGTGTATCTTTTTGCCGGAGGGGCTGAGGGAGGGATTGCGGTTGACGTTGGATTGGATTCTCGCCCTTCCTGCCCGCCCGCCCGCCTCGCTTGCTTGAACGGTCGCTGCGCAGTGGCTTTCATTTATTTCATTTGTTGGGCTGCATGGCTGGCTGGCGTGCCTGACTGACTGGCTGGACGGGCGACTGGATGAGTGGATGGATGGATGAGTGGCTGCAGACACACGACAAGAGAGAAGAAAGGACAACAGGCAGACAGAGAAGGAAAGGAAGAAGACGTTGGAATGCTGAGAGCTGTATGCGTGTGCGCGTGTGGCATGGCGAGTGCCTCTGTGCCTCTGTGTGTGTGTGTGTGTGTGTGAGTGTGTTGATGACGTCTTGTTGGTTGTCGGTTGGCAGTAGGTACTACGTATAGATGCGTACGGGCGGATGGATTGGATGCTGCGTGAATCAAGGACTGCGTGCGAATTGCATGCTGGCTCCAATTAACTAACTAACCGTTGATCGATCCAGATTGGTCTGTCGACACGACGACACGAAGATCAGCAACCAAAGTGAGGCATCCATCCATCCATCGTCGACAAGCGTCAAGTGTCTCCCTCCCTCCATCCCTCCCTCCCTCCCTGTCTCCCCCTGGTATCCACACACCTAAGACTACATTACACACAAAGCACTCTCTCGACTGACTGCCATTCTGCGCGCGTCTAGATTGGATTGGATGGACACATGTCGGCTGTAGAGCACTCACACAACAGAAATACACTCTCTCACCTCACTTCCTACACAAACAAACATCGTATGTATCGTGGCGTCTCCCTCCCCTACTATATACTACGACAGACAAACAGACAGACACACAGACCTCTCTCCCTCCGGGTGTCTGTCACGCAATCACACCAACACCAGCCTGACGATGTGTCCGCCCTGGCGAGTGCCGTGAGTACGTCCCTCACCATTGGGGGTGCATAGCGAGCGACGGGGGCTGTGTTGTTCTTGTCGTGACTCGTCGCATTCATGAGTGCATTTCACTGATGGACAGACAGAAGGGCACGTCAGGGCGTTTTTGCGCGTGTTCAGCAAGCCCCACTGGTGTGCGTCGTCCTGATGGGCTTGCTTGTCGACCGCGACGGACCGGCCGCCTCGTCTCAGACGCTCGTTCCGATGGACAAGCAAGCCCTAAGACGAATCAAAAGAGAGGACCAAAGCGGGGCTGCGCATTTAGCAATGGTCAGTGATAACATTGGATCAGTCACAGGAGGACGGCTGCAACCACAGGAGCGGCTTGCATATTGTGTTTACGAGACTTCGCACGTAAGCTCGCGACGGCGCGTCATTGTGGCTCGTCAAGAGTGACGCTGACATCCGTCGTTCTGAACCGAAGATAGATCTCGTTTCGTCGGTGTTCTGCAGCCCTTTCCTCTTTGTTTCTCTTTCTCTTGTCGTCTGCTGCCCGGTGTGATTGCCTTCCTTCGGCTCAGCGCATCAGTGACAGCCCATCGCAGATCGTCGCAGCACCGTGTTCATCGGTGGGGCTCGGTGCTGGTCCTCACGCACCGTCAGGTAAGGTGGGCAGAGGGCACAGCCTCGTTTGTTGACCAGTGTCATGTTGCGAATCGGGCAGCGTCGATCGTCAAGGCCCTGCAGAAGGTCTCGAAGGTGCGGACACACACGTGTGCGCACACATGAACACTCGTACACACGCACCCCACATAAAGGAATTGAATTGGCTGTGGATGTGTGTGGGTGAGTTGTGCGTGTGTGCGCAGCAACCCGACCTCTATATGCGTCAGACGACTCTACTTGATGAGGAGGACTCTCCCGCCATGTACCATGACCTTCTTGGCCTTTCAGAGTGGCGGCACGGAAAGGTAGGTGGGTGGCGCGTGCAGATGAGATGCGAAGATGGTGGATGGATGGATGGATATGACTGTGGTTGGTTATTTGTGTGGTTGTGTGGTTGTATGTGCAGTTTGATTTGCGTGAGATCAAGTGCCTGATGCGTCAGCTGCTGGAGGGGCTGCAGCACTGCCACCAGCACCTCATCGTACACGGAGATATCAGAAGTACTCACTCGCGCCTCCCCTGCCCCCTCAACACACGTGCAGTGCAGAAGCGGCCGTGCTGTGCTCTGGTGTGTTCTTTGTGCAGGTTCCAACCTGCTGCTGACCAAGGAAGGCGAGCTCAAATTGGGCGATTTCGGCCTTGCCAGGTGAGCCAAGGGCCTGGTCTGGTCCATGCATTCATTCTTTGTGGTCATCTTTGGCCTCATCAGGCCGCATGTCAAGTCGTCCCAGCAGGCGCACGACACCAACCGGGTCATGACACTGTGGTACAGACCGCCGGAGCTGCTGCTTGGTTCGGTCAATTACGGCACCGCTGTCGACATCTGGGCCGCCGGGTGGGTGGATGTTCAAGCACACACCCGGCATACACACACACATGGACATCTGAGATGGGCAGAATGCGCGCACCGACTTGTGAGTATTCTTGCCCTTGTTTGTTTCAAGGTGCATCTTGGCTGAGCTGATGACGGGGAAGCCTCTCTTCAACGGCGAGAGCGAGGAGGACTTGGTCGATATGATATTCTGGGTGAGGCTGACCGATCGACCGCACTGCCGTGCGTCGGTGGGCTGGTGTGGTGGGTGTATGTTTCATGTGTGCATTAATGGGATGCCAATACATTCATTCTGCAGTTGTGCGGGAGTCCTAACAGCATGACATGGAGCGAGGCGGTGCGGCTGCCCGAGTGGGAGAAACACAGGCCGGAGAGTATCTTACCACGCAACATACGCTACCGATTCAGAAGAGAGTAAGGACGCAGAGCAGAGAGTGGGGGAGAGGGACTCCAGCACCACAAACCCATCCATCCAGGCACATCACATCAGACGCAAATGTGTATGTGTGCGTGTGTGTGTATGGTTTGTGTCTGATCATGCAGATGGGATAAGACTGCCGTCGATCTGCTGGACAAGATGCTCACACTCGACCCAGGCAAGACACAGACACACACACAGACACACACAGACACACACACACACCGACACATGGACAAAGAAAGCACTGCCTTCCCTTATTTCCGACTCGTCGGTTCCTTCCTTCAGAGTGTCGGGTCACGGCGAGTGCAGCTCTGGAGCACCCCTTCTTCACCCACAGTACCCCGCTGCCCTGCCAGCCCAGCGACATCAAGCTTCCCAACCGGAGCTGTCTCGGCACCAATGCCCCCCACCAGCTGACCCGCATTCCCTCTGACCCGTCCCAGCCACTGCTGCCACTACCTGTGCACATGTCTGCGCCGCACCACCATGAGGAGAGGGACAACATCGTCCCTCCCATCCACCCCGACGAGGCCATGCAGATGGTGTCTGAGGTCGCGGAGCAGGCAGATGGGTCGCTTTCCCGGCCTGGTGGCGGGTGGGGGGAGGTGTTTGGACCGTCCGTGGCCACCGCGCCATCCGTGACGCCACCCGCCACCCAGCCCGCCCCCATGGACACCCAGGCCGGTGGACACACCTCAGCCCCGCCCAGGTCAGCTGGCAAGGTCAACAGCGAGGACAAGTCGCCCCAGAGTGCGCCGAGCGGCCAGCCCATCAAGCAGGAGAACCCCCAGCCCCCGTCATCGCCCCACGCGCCGCGGCGGGCCAAGTCCAAGGCTGACCACACGATTGGCGTCAGGAAGCGCGTCAAAGGCGACAAGGACAGAGCGGCCGCTGCGACACGCACCAGCAGCGGCAATGGCAGTGGTGGGACAGCCAAGCCTGTGACGCAACAGCAGCAGGACAGTGACGATGATGTCATCCCGCGGTCGACTAAGAGGGATGGCTCAGGCAGGCGGGGAGGGCCGCAAGCACCTCCTGCTGCTGTGCCGCCCGGCTGTAAGGGGCTGGATGACGTCCACATCGTCCCTGATGCGGGCGTCACTCCTCTGAGTCGGCAGCTGCTGGAGGGCTGCATCCGCCGAACCATCAAGAGTGGGGCGCAGGTCACATGGCTGATCCGTCAAGGAGCTGATCTGAGAGCCATCGGCTGCCTTCGTCCCCGCGGCACCACAACAGGATCCCCGATCTGGCAATACAGTTGCCTGTCTTTCGCCATCGACAGCCCAACAGGCACACCATCTCTCGTCGCGACCGGCGCAAATTTTCTCATCGACGTGCCCGTCGTCACGTCGCAGTGGCCCTCCCGTCAGCTGCAGCGTGAGGTCATCAATGCACTCATCGACGGCGGGGCGGACGTCAATGGGGGCTTAGGGGGATGTATGGTGGAGCGGCCCATCAAGGTGGCGATTCGTGCGGGCAATCTGACGGCAGTGGAGGCCCTCTTGGCGGGTCAGGCCGACTTGCGGGGAATTTGGGTGATGGATCTTCCCTTCTTCCCCGATGCTGCCCCTTCCGCCACTCGTGAGTACGAGGACACTCTCATGGACATCTATCGCCGACTTGCCCAACACGACAGCACCCTCGCAACCGAACGGACCGCTTATGGAGAGAATCTGGTCAATTCGGCAGCCAGGAGCTCTACTGGCCTCTTCTCCCAGCTGTTCATCGACCAGTACCTCTCCCTCATTACCAGCCACCGAGTCGACATAAGGGCAACGGACACCAAATTGATGGACACCCTGGGCATGACGCCATTGGAGCGGGCGGCATTGTTTGGCTCCCCCTGTGTGGCTCATTGGCTGTGCCGCCAGCTCACAGCCGACGACGTCAACAGAGGCAGCCAGCCCAACAAGCCACCAGTCGCCATCGCTGCCGACAAGCTGGACGAGTACCAAGAGCAGGAGCAACACGAGGACGGGCAGGAGGAGCGGCGCCAAAGATGGATCGCAGAGTTCAAGACCACCATCGGTGTGCTGCTGCGGGGCGGGGCTGCCCCATCCATCGCCCGCATGCTCACCGCCGTCGAGGTGAGCCGCCGCCGCCGCCAGCTGGTGCTGGCCGAGTACGCCACACTGCTGAATGAGCTGCGCGCCGCCGTCATGTCGGCCATCAACGCCGCCCTCGCCCCCCAGCGTAACCACTCGATGCTTCTCGCCCATCTGCTGCCCCTGACCCCCCACCACGACGGCGCCCACCCCCACCCCTCCCCATCCAAGATGTCATTCGGCCCACACGAGGCAGAGGCCATCGCATGGAAGATCGGCGCCTTCCTGCACGAGCCCCTCACTGCTGTGGCCGCCATCAACGAGTACCTCATCGGCGAGTCGCTGCTGAGGCGCCGCGTGTGTGCGGCCGTCGGCCACTTCGTCAAGTCGGCGGCCACACAGACGAGCAGCAACAGGGAGGTGGTGGGCGGGACGAGATACGAGCAGCAGGGCGACAGGCGCGTCAAGGTGACCGTGCCGCCGCTGCAGTGCTTCGCTCTCGAAGGTGTCGACAGCCGTCCTTCTCATGCGGTGCACACTGCTGGTCGTGTGGGTCTGCGTGAGGTGGTGCACAAGGCCCGGCTGGATGAGGCGGCCCAGCACGGTGTGGTGGGGGTGATCAAGGGCTTCAATGAGCACCTGGGCGATCAGGACTGCGAGTTCGAGTGGGGACAGCTGGGGCATCTGTCGAGGACCGGACTGTTGGTGTCTCATCATGCGGCTGCCGTTAAGGAGGAGCCCACACCGACAGACATCGGCGGCAAGGACGAGGGCAGCCCGTCTGTGGCCGTGACGGTGGCACCTCCCCCCGCCTCATGGGGCGAGGCAGCCGCCTTGGAGCGGATGAGGACATACAGGGAGCGACTCACCCAACTGCATGGCGCTGAGGTAGGGACCTACATCAGCCAGACACACGAACCCACACATCCGTCCATACGCTCGGTGTTGGTTGTGTCAGTCGTACGACGAGTGTCTGTCGGTGTTGGGCGAGGTGGAGTCTCTATGCGGCCACTTTGACGCTGACCTGGTCATCCGCCCTCTGCAGACGTCCAAGCTGGGACCCACGCTCGGCCAACACCTCAGCAAATCGCCAAACCCACAGGTACGTACGCATGGCAACAGGACATTCTCGCGCCCGCAGCCATGTGTCGTGTGATGTCGTGGTCTGTCTGTCTGTCTGTCTGTCAAGTTGCGAGTCGTGCAGCGTCGATCGTCAAGGCCCTGACGGAGCGCATCAAAGCCCACCCCCTGGATAAGCCCCCGCCCACCCCGTCGACGCCGGCCATGTCGACCCCGTCCACACGCATTCACACCCTCCCCGCCCTCCACTGCCCCCACCAACACCAATGGGGATGCCTCGAGCAGGCCAGATTCGGCATCGTTTATCGATCGAGCAGACCAGACGGACTGGAGGGGGGCGGAAAAGAGCGGAGGGCCCAGTCTGCGTGTGTCCGTGTGTGTGAACGGTGTAACGGTGTATGTGTGCTCCCCTGAGCGCAAAAAAAGCACTCAGGGGGCGGCCTTTCCCGTAATCTGTGGGTGTGAGTGTGTGCGCGTGCGTGCGGATGGTGTGTGGACGTGTTTGTTTGGTGAATGAGTCAACTCTGCTGCTGCATGTCCATGGACTTGATGTTGATAACAGGTCCGTATGTAGAATCGGAACGTGCCATGTAGACACGATGATGGGATGGGATGGTGGATGGGTCGGCGGATGATGTGGATTTGTGAATGAATGGACCTCTCTTGTGGTGCGTGTCGGTCAACCGTTGGGGCGAGACGCTCATTGCCGATCGAAAGAGAGCGAAAGAGAGGAGGACCATAGGATTTAGGCAGACACACAGACATGCATTGCATACAGGCCCTTGCTTCCGAAACTTGCCCGAAAGACTGATGCGTGTCGTTGGCGCGCCGAGAGCACAGCACCTCACAGGGGCGTGCACTGCATGCGTCCACAAATACTGACTGATGAACCAAACGGATCCCTCAACTCAGTCGAACAATCACACCCATCCATCCATCCATCCAGTACTCAGCACTGAACCCTTAGGCCCTCTCTCTCTCGCGTATGTTTGCAAACAGGCACGCAGGCTGGCTGGTAGGCAGCGGAGAACCAAGGCAGGTCCAGCTAGACAGACAGACAGACAGACAGTGGCAACCAAGTGGTACGTGGGTTGGCGGAAATCCTCTCTCCCTCCCTCTCCCCCCCCTCTCTCTCTCTGCGATGCTGCGATGTGGCCCGTGTGTCCCTCCTCTCATCCCATCTCCTCTAATCTCCTCCCTCTCCCTACAGCAGTCAGTCAGTCAGTCAGCGAAAGAGCCAGGCAAAACTGTGAGCATCCTCAGCAGCAGCAGCAGCAGCACCAGAGAATTGGTGGAGTGGGGGGGACGGTGTCAGGAAGGGGCTATCTTTCTATGTACAAGGGTAGATGGCAGGCAGGCAGGCAGGCAGACAGGCAGACAGGATGACAGGCAGACAGGATGACAGGCCGACGAAGGAAAAAAACAAAACAAAACAAACCAAAAAAAGCGACCAGACCGGCCGTGCTATGCTATTCTATGCTGCCCTTGACGATTGCACCACAGCCGAAAGAATCGGCCCGGCTTGGCCGCGTGGCATCTCCTCGGTGAGTGTCGCTGGTGATGGGCTGCTCGCACAGCCACGTGCCGACTATCCACTTCTCCACCCCGCCGCAGACCTTTTGGCCACAGTGGCGCATCCGGGGGTCCATCTTGCCGTCACGAAACGTCGGGAAGAAAACCAGTGCGCTCCCTGCACACACACACACACACACACACAGGCACCCATCTAGCGATCCATCCATGGTGTCCTGTCCTTGCCCACCCAAAGCAGAGTGAAGGAAAGCGGTCTCCCCGCCTTGGTGCTCGTGCAGCGAGTTCAGGTAGCAAATGAGCTGCACGAGCCGCTGGCCGCCTCCCCCCTCCCTCCCCCACTCCTGCAGGTCACCCCTCGCGTCCTCATGGGGCGCCTGGTACTCGCCAGCCATCGAGATACCGCGTCACAGTCACCGGCTCGAACCGACTCACACACAGCTCTTGCCCCCGTTAGCTGCGAAACAGCCGCTGTCCTCGAGCCACGAATGAGCCTATCAGCAGCTGGCTTGCTCTGTCCGCTTGCACCAGTTACCGGGGGTATTTGGCGCCCGTGAAGGTGCGGCCGCGATAGAGGTGGTTGACCACGCCGATGGTGGCAGTGAGCAGGGCGCTGACGAGGGTCCTGGAGAGCGCCATGAGGGAGAGCCAACCGCATAAGAAAGATAGCAGGGGGAGGGGGGCGAAGGAAAGGGATGACAGATCGAACTGGTGAGCAAGTACGGGAAGGGTGCCTGCACAAACGAACGACGGCGATGTCATTCGCCCACTCACTGATGAAAATGATGGGCAACAACCAATGTGCATCAGCCTGCCCCTGACAACAAGCAGACATACACTGAACAGACAGACCGCCTCCAACGTTTTCGTTCCATTCCTCACGCGATTCGGTTCAGCTTCCCCTCATGGACAGCCGCCACTATGCCGTCGCATTCACCGTCGCCTAGAAAGCGGTCGACAGACAAGCATAACAGGCGGCTCCTCGTTCAGCATCCGCAGCCCAGCCCAGGGAAGTCCCTATCTATCTACATTAGGATACCGGCTCCAGTCCATGCCCTGCTTCTCTGGCACCACTCCCTGCGCTGCCGGCCGCACACCAGCGGCTGCAGTGTCGTGATGACGGCATGCAGATCTTCCAACTGCATCCGGGCATGAGGGCGAGATCAAAGCTGCGGCAGGGGATATGGACAGCAGAGTGAGAGCTGCTGAGTCCTCATTTTCACCGAATAGGGCCGTCGACCCAAAGCTCGCAGGTAGGAAACCGCTGCCGCGGAAGTCAAGGAGAGCAAAAGAGGTCCACCACACACACACTCAGGTAGCATCGGATTGTGATACCTTTTGGCCTCATCATTGCCACAAACAAACTGAACAACCCTTGGAACAACGGTCGCAGGTAAGATGACTACAGGCAGTGGGTACGGATGGCCTGGCGTGATGCATGTGCTCTTCCTTGACCTGTCTGCAGAAAGTGAGCAGCTGACCAATCGGTTGTCGTGTGTGAGATTCCTCCCTCCATTCTGTCAAGTGAGCATCACCACACACACAGAGAGGAGAACCAGGTCAAGCGCACTGCCGTGTGTTGTGCCGTCTTGTCTGTCCTTGTTGCTGACAGAGCTCTGTTCGTGCGGCGGGCTGCCCATCGGCAATGGCTGACGTGCCTCCCCGTGAGCGCGACTCTCGAGGCCTTCGAGGTTCCCCTCCTTCACATGGCAATGAGCGGCATCGGCGGCATCGGCGGGACGAGATGACCATGCCGCCCCCGCACACGAGGAAGCGGCCGAGTAGCCGGCCCAGCAGCCGATCGCCGCCCCCTCTGAGACAGAGGAGGCGGTCGCCATCGCCCAGAAGGTCAGTCACACGTACAGTCAGTCCATCACCCACCCAGTTTTCATTCACATCATCAGACGATAGACGCATACATGTGTGTGTGTGTGTGTACGATGTCTGTCTGAGCAGGGCCGGCCCTCCCCGTGGCGATGAGTATGACCCGCTCTACCGTGCCCCTCCCCCCCGCTCACCACCCCGTGGCCGCTTCGACCCGCCGAGGTTCCCACCACACGACCGAGACCGTGACAGAGAGCCCGAGCACCACAGGGACGATAACCGGCGGTCGCCGCGGGCCAAGAGGAAAATGGGCGACCAGGACTTTGGCTGGCGGCCGACGCCGGGTGGGAAAGGTGCTGGTGGTGGTGGTGGCGGCAATGGCGGCAATGGTGGCAATGGTGGCCCGCGTGGTAAGTGGCGGAAGCGGAAGAAGCGGCCGGACGAGGCGAACCGGGGTTGGCGGAAGCGGGACAGGGATGGCCGGACACGAAAGATGACCGTAAGTATGATGCGGCGGGCGGGCGGGGAGTCAGGAGGGAGGGGAGAATGTCGGTCGTCACGTGTTGCCTTGCCTTGTCTGCCTGTCCTGTTGTTCTGTGTCAGTTGACCCCCGCTGCTGAGGTGCAGCAGCAGCACCACCAGCAGCAGCAGGCAGACCAGAACGATGAGCAAATGGTGCGTGAGGTGGCACGCACGCGCATTAACGACACCTTATTCCCCTGCTTCTCTGTCCGTTCCGTCCGTCAGGTGAATGGCCAGCCGCCAGTGAACCACAACGGCGGCCGTCGATCGCTCTCGCGCTCCCTCTCGCGTGACCGGGGGGACGGTGCCATCCCACAAGACGGTGCCTACGACCACGCCGACATGAATGGGTGCGCACCGAGGCACAAGCCCGTCCACGACGTCACTCTCCTTTCTGTCTGTCCACCAGGCATGAGCACTCTGCCTCCGAAGCGCATGAGCACAGCGGCCCCCCGCCCACAGACCAGCACGACGACGACGAGGACGACAGAGACCACGAGCACCCACAAGGGGCAGACGAGACTTATCAACAGCAGCAGCACCAGGAAGCTGAAGGTGAAGCTGAGGGCGAGCAGGGCTTCTACGACGCCAACCACTATCAGGAGGGCCAGGGCGAAGCCGGCGATGTGGTTGACGAGGTCGACCAAGGGCAGCTCAACGGCACCATTGACGAGAGTGCCGTGCCGCCCGAGAACCAGGAGATGGAGGAGGCTGCTGGCGAGGCCGCTGGGGAGGGCGAGGTGTACGCGGGAGAGGAGGAGGAGGAGCAGCAGTACCACACACATGCAGAGGAGCAGCAGACCAGCGAGGAGCCCCAACCTCCCATTCTCATCGATGGCCACCAGCACCCCCCGCCCCCGCCCCCTCCCGCTTGTGAGACCCAACGAGCCGACCCAGGCGCACCATCAGAGGCCCCCCAGACAGACATCGACATGGCCGCCCCTCGCCCCACCCCCACCGTGTCCCTCGACTCGTCCCTCTCCCACTCACATTTGCCGACACCCGAGGGAGAGTGCAGGAGCAGCAAGGTGCCTGACACCGTGCTGGTGGAGCTGCGTTATGGTCATCACGTCAAGTACGTCCGGCATGCCATGGAGACGACCCTGCAGCAGCTGCTGAACCGCTACATCGCCCCGCTGACCAAAGACGCCATGCGGATCGTGCTCATCAGCAGGCCGCAGGTGAGCTGACATGCCCACACACCGCCGAGAGCCGCCCACCCATGGCACACACTGGCCTCTGTGTGTCTTTGTGTGGTGCAGGAGGAGCAGGCAGAGTATTTTCGTGTGATGGATCTACCGCAGGAGGACATGGGGCCGAGGTACGGGTGGGGGGTGCGGCTGCAGGTGGAGCCGGACCCCTGGGGGTGATGGGGCAGCCCAGCCAGGTGCGTCCGCGCATGCGTGCCCGTCCTATCGTATTTATTTGTGTGGATGTCGGGCGAAGGTAGTAATTGCTGGTGAAGGTCGGGTGGGCAGTAAGGTGTGAACAGAGGAAGGTGGTGCTCTGCACACTTGGTCTGTTTCTCCGTGCAATGCAATGCAATGGTGATGGATGGCATGTAGTTGCGTTGTGTGTGGTGTGCACATCGATTGTGTGCGTGCGACAGGGATGGATGGGTGCCTCCGTCAATCGTCAGTCAGCTGCGGTGCCTGTGTGTCATGGATGGATGTATGGATGGATGGATGGGTGGACAGTCACTCGACTCAATGACGCACGTCCAGCTGGACTGCCTGAAGTTTTCCGGTTGCACGGCTGGAAATGCTGGCCGAAGCGGCCGCGGCCAGAATCTGCACAGCTCGCGAATGCGAAAGGGAAAAATGATGTGTTGAGAAGCCTCTTTGGCTTCTCAACAGAAAGCGACTATGAGCTCCGGCACAACAAGCTCCGGCAGGAAGAGACGAACGACTGAAGCCGAGGGATCTGCCGCAGCGGCATCAGCAGCTGCTGTCGCGGCCACTCCACAGCAGAAGAGGAGCAGGAACGGCGATGCGGGAGATGCCATTGCGCGCAAGGCGCCGCGCATCGGGCGCATGTCCCTCGACAAGCTGTACCAAAGTGCCCTCGACCCACTCACTTCGATTGGGAAGGAGCTCGAGAGCTACGCGACTAACATTCGCCAGATGATCCTCAACCGACGAGGCAAGCTGCAGCTGCAGGGAGCTGACGGCCAGATCGAGATCAATGTGAGCATTGCCAGCCAAGGGGAGGGAAAGGACTGTGTCAGATTAGGTTGAGGGTCATGGGATCTGATCTGTGTTTGTGTGTGGTGTGTTGGTCAGTTCGGCGGTCGCGTCATCCCCGTCCGCCGCAAGCTGCTGTTGCTGCCAGCGGTGCGCGATACGATGCTCGCCCAGGTGCTGCTGCACTATGAAAACGCCATCCCCGTAGACGACAAGGACCGCCGATTCCTCGACATCGATCCCCTATACGCAGAATGGTACACACACACACACACACAAACACACAAGGACAGACAGACAGACAGACAGACAGACAGGCACACACCGGCAGGACACAACCAAATGGGTCAAGGTCATCGTTTGTGGCCTTGTTGATGTGTTGATGTGTTGATCTGTATTGCGTGTAGGTTGGTTGGCGAGATGGTGATCATGCATCGCGACCAGCAGCATCACCACGAGATAGCGCTGCGGGAGGACCACCACAAGAAGGATGCCTCCTTCAGGACCTACCACGGCCTGCTCTTCGACAAAACCACACTCAAGATTGAGCTGCCCGACGAACAGCAGCAGCAGGAGGAGGAGGAGGACGCCCACATGGCTGGCCAAGGCCAAGCCGAGGGCGAGGGCGAGGAACAACACCGAACACTCGACAACAAGATGCGATCGCTGCAGACTGCTATCACCGAGATGGAGGTGGGTTGGCAACGCAGGCAGAACAGCAGGCCGCACGACGCTCAGGCAACACACAGTGGTCCATTTCTCCTGTCTGTCCGTCCGTCTGTCTGTCCGTGTGTCTGTCTGTGTGTGCAGGCGACCAAGGATGAGCTCGAGCGTTTCTATCGGGTAATGGACCCTTTCATGCAGCTGGTGAAGCCCGAGGGCGGCACGCCTGTGATGAGCGCCACAGTGCTTGGGACCACTGTGAGCACCACAGAGGCCACTTTGCTGCTACTCGGACAGGACAATGCCCTAGCAAAGTGTTTCACCAAGTGAGGGAGATACAGACACACCCACACCGACACATACACAGACAATAAGGGTGTGGTGTGATCCGCCCCACCTTGCCTGTCTGCCAGGGGGTCTGAGGGCGGCGACAATGCCGCTGTAGGTAACGAGACTTCATCGTCCAACTTTATGAAGGTAGGTGGGTGTCCTTCTCGCTGGCTTGGCTTGAAGTCGGCTGTGTGTGTGTGTGTCTGAGTGAACAGGTAGTTGACTTCGCCAGGCGGCAGCGCATCTCCCCTCGTGGAAGTGTGGTCAGTATCCCTCACGCGTACGATCAGGAGCAGCTTATGAAGGACTTCAGAAGCTTCGGGCTGCCCGACATGGTCAGTCAGGCCGGGGAGACATCGCGCATTCCCGTGTGTGCGCGGTTCAATCAATTGTTGGTTGCTTGTCCTGGACAGGACATGTACATGTCGCTGCTGACCCTTGAGGAGATGAACAAAGTGCTGGGCATGATTGGCAAACCGGTCCGCCGACGCGAGCTGGTCTTCAAGTAAGCAGCCCCAGCCCGCCGACACGAGCACACAGGCAGTGGAATGAGACCACCTGCTGGCCATCGTCAGGTCCGCTGCCTATGGCTTCACCTACACCAAGCTGCCTGACAAGGTGGGCGACAAGGAGGGCCTCCTGTTCGTCCTGCGACACAAAAAGTACATCTTCGGCGTCCACATGGACGGCAAGTTGGCCCTCCCACCCGGCCCCAGGAGCACCAACTACTTCGACTGTCCCATCTTCTTCTTCTCAGGTACACACCCACCGACACATACGCAGTGTTTGTTTGGTGACTGCCATGCCACGCGATTCCATGCCGTTGTCAGTGTCGGGTTGCTTCGACGAGCCCAAGAAGATCACCATCGCCGAGAATCTGCAGCAGGTGGAGGTGGCCGGCCGTGCGGGATGGATTGAGAACGACGAACACGAGCACACAGGCAAACTGGCGTTCGGCAACGGCCGACTCTGGCTGGGGTACCGCTTTCCAGCGGCGGATGCACACGCCGTCCCCGACCTGTCCCAGTGCCACCACTGGATCGACAAGACCGAGATACCTGCCGGGTGAGGATGGATCAATGGATGGATGGATGGATGTGTGTCATCCACTCACCTAGCACACGGTGGATGTGTGAATGTGCGTGTTGTGTGTGGGTGTTGTGTGTGCAGGTACAAGGGCAACGACGACCAAGATGGCAGTGGACTGCCAGCTGGAGACGATAGCGTGGTGCTGGATGCGCTTGAAGTTTGGCAGGCAAGTCAAGTAAAGGATTGCATGGAGGACACCTCATCACTTGAGGCCTTTGTTGCCGATGAATGACGATTGGACTGTGTCTCTCCCCCCCTTCAGGTCAGGTGTGGCGAGTGACTGAGGAGTCACACGACCAGCAGCCACGACAGATAGACCCTTCCGTAGCCAATTAGACTGGCATATGCATACCGCTAATTCACAGGCACGGGTGGTGCTGTAGACTAGCTGACTGACAGGACTCATATGTGTCAGTGTCTAAGCCGTCATCCATCTGTCGTGCACTGACTGCACGGGCGGGGCGGCTAGCGATGCGATGCATGCATTGAGTGACAGACCACACACATCAATCGCATCTACCAACAGTTGTTGATCGGGTCAATCGTGTCCATCCACATAGCCACAACTACGCTCAAGATGGCACCACACCACTCACAGACAAAGAGACCGCCCTAATGTACACTCACGGAGGCAAAAAGCCATTCTCATCGTCAAACACACTCATATGAGGTGTGTCCGCCTGGCGGCGTAGCACAGCGCGTTGGCTATCAGACGCGTCCCGTCGCCCGACGAGTCCCAGTAGCCAGGATGCAGGTCGGAGGAACCTGCATACAACACACCACACACACGGGCGGATCATTGTCACTCAAGCTGCTGATCCCGTCTTTTGTGTGCCGTACTTACAGGGGTAGAAGTTGAGGAAGACGACCCGTGTGTCCCGTGATTCGGCGAGGAACTGAAGAGGCAGAGAGGGATGTGATGTGCAACATGCGGCCACCTGCATGGCATGTGTAGCTCACTCACCGGCACCCCATCTGTCCAGTCTGCTATCCTTCTCGCTGAAGGCCTCAAGACTCCCACGTTGTGCCACGACTGACGGCCGCCACGAAAGTCGCCCACACCTACTCACAGGCAGTGCATTCAATCCATCTCATCAATCTCGTAGGCAGATGGATATATGGGTGCTCACCGCACCCACCGCTCAGTATTGGGTGTTGGCCTCTGTGTATCTTGCCGATGCCGAGGTGCCGCCCAGTGGTGATGGATACGTGCTCGAGGGGATGATACTCCTCCCGCAGCCACCTGCCGGACGGCTGCGTGCCCGGCTCCACGTACATGCACACCACACCACTGCAGTCATCCCATGCACCCATACCAGCAACCAACAGGAGAGCAGAACGAACAGGATTGTTCCTCTGTCTCTGTGTGTGTGTGGCTGGGGGTGTTGCGCACCCTCCTGCATCGACATAGTCGGCCAGCTCGTCACCGAGCCGCTTGCGATCACAGAAAGTGTCGTCAGCTGATGAAACATACGATAGATTGGGCTCATTCACCCTCAATTCACTGCATTTCGTCCCCTCACCTGTCCACAGCAGCACAGCGTCATAGTTGCCTCTAAGCAGCCCCCTCGGCAGATTGAGAGCCGCAGCGTCCCACGAGTCGACTGAAGAACCAGACCGTGACAGCCATCTGTCTGTCTGTCTGTCTGTCTGTCAGGGCAGACTCCTGGCTGGCCGACCTGGCAGGCCGTGTGAGTGGAGTTTGTCAATGATGTCGTCCACGCGGCTGCGGCGGAGGGCGATGCATCCTGCGTTCATGGGGTCATCTGCGTAGATGAGCAAACAACGCTGCAGCAACACAAAACAACACAAACACCACACTCACGAAGAGCGTTATCATCCAACTCTGTTTCATGTTCATGTCTGCTTACAGACCAGTGTCCTCAGTGCGAGTACCCCCATGATTGCACGGCCCTGCCACGGCAGGCAGGCAGACAAACGGGAAGGTCTGCTCACACGCTCTCAGCTACAGAGATCAAGGATGAGTGATCTTTTGGCCACTTGGAAGGGCGCCACCCATCGTTTTACACCCAACACAAGGCAGACAGCCTCGCAAGATCTTTGGCTTCAAGCTCGCACGCCCGATCGGCTCCAGAGCTTTTCCCCTTGCCGTGGCCTCCATGACTGGCAGCATGCACGGCCTCGCCCACCATCCGCCAGATCTCTGGGCGGACTCATTCATTGTCGTCGTGCGCGTCGCTGGTTGGTGTGCACTACAGGCTGGGCTGCAGGCAGGCAAGCACGTCCAGTCCAGGTGTATTCGCGTGTGTCGTGGTGGTCTGTCGGCCTGAGCGACGTGTTAACTTGCAGCTGCCTTGCTTCAAGCCACTCATCCCCGGCCGGTGAGCTCCAGAGCTTCTGTCATCCAGCCCAGCTGCTGACCCCAGAGAGCAATGCGTTCAGATGAATTGCCTCGTAGCGTTGTTGGACCCCTATGAGCCTGCCAGGACGCCGACCGCATCCGCCACGGCCGGCGCCGGCGGGCAGGGCAATGGCACGATGGTGCTGCCCGAGAGCGACATCCTATTCTGCTTCAGCGAACCCACCCTCAAGGTCAGCCGGGGAGGCTGCCTGTCCACTTGTGGTGTGGTGTGCTTGAGGATGTTGGTGCGTTGGTGTCTTGTCCACACGACACACAGGCCGGGGAGTCAACTGAGGAGCTGGCTGATGAGGAGAAGAAACAGATAGAGGAACTCGCCGGCCGCCGGCTCGACAGCAAGAGAATAGCACAGCAGCTCACCAAGGTCAGCCTGCCCTGCCCGCCACACATGGATGCCATCGATCCATCTGCACCCCTTTGTTTGTGTGTCTGCAGGACCGGCAGGCAGCCAAGAAGGCAAAGACGCGTGTGCCTGTCCGGCTGGTAGAGGATTACCTCCAGACGATCAAGAGCTCAGAAAAGGGGAAGAAGTGCATAGTCAGTGAGTGAGTGAATCAACTGCGTGACGTGTGGGCATTTTATCGGTGAGTGATGTGTGGGTGAGGGGGAGAGGGAGGGTATGATTAGTTCATGCCGTGTGAGATCGGCGCCCTGTGTGTGTTAGCTCGCTTCCCGCTTGCCTGCCTCCCTGCCTGGCCGTACGTGTGTATGTGTCTCCAGACGGATGGATGGATGGATGGACTTAGTGAGCCATTGGATAGAGCCACACTTACACACCCCCACACACCATGCAGCACGCCCAGAGGAGCGATGGATTGGTGTGGGTGGGAGGGTCGGTCACACTCTATCCGTTTTCCTCTTGGTTCGTCTGGTTGCGTAGGAAGGGGTCGGGGCACCACACACACACACACACACACACACAGAGCAATGGGGACGGGACCATTTGCTGTTTGGTTATGTACAGACAGACAGACCGACAGACAGGAGGACGGGAACATCCATTGCTCACGTGTATGTGTGTCTGTATATATATATGTAACCATTTAGACATAACAGATGCCGCTGCTGCCGACCGGCAGGCGCAGGCACATCTGTCTGCTCGTGTGAGTACCCTCTCGCAAGTCGTCTCTTCCCTCTCTTCCTCTCCCCCGCGTTGTTGTGTTGTTCGCTCGCTCTCTCTCTCTCTCTCTCGTCAGCTTCCTTCTGCTGGCCTTTTGTGTTGTGCTAGCTGCCCTTGTCGCCTCTCTCTTGTCCATAGACAGGCAGCTCAGCTCCTCCACACTTTGGTGTCTGTACAGTGGGCCGGGTGGCTCGATGACTGCGGCCACCTTCACTGACACTTCTATCTCTCGGCCGGGTGGTGGAGGGCGGGGGGTGTGTAGGGGTGTGGGGGTATAACCATCATGCGGGCATCAAGTGGTTTTAATGTTTTGGCTCGGCTCGGTTCGGCTGCCCCTGACGACTGGTTGCATTCATGTGAGTGCTTCACACGCACAGATGGGCGCGGCGTGTTGGTAGGCTATGTGGATGGATGTGGGAAGAGAAGACGAAAGGTCAGACAGACAAAGGGGTGCGCGTGTTTGCTGAAGTTGAGCTTAAGCATTCATCGATCTCATAACACGTCCACATATAGTCGTACCGCACAGACACTTCAGGTAGGCCAATACGTGTGTGAAGGTATTCAGGCCACCACGTCGGCTGCATCGTCAGAGACACAGAGAGCACAAACACGAAGTTGTCTTTGCAAAAATCGAGTTGGTCCATCTTCCGACAGAACGATGTGGTACAGCCAGGTCAAACACAGCGGCTATGGGGACACCTGACTCACGCGCTCGTCGCACCGCCGCCCGTCACCTGCCATACCTCGATCTCCTTGGCGGTCAAATGCAAGTCCGCCGCCAGTGTGCCGTGGTTTTGGTCGTTGAATTGGCCGAGGTAGCCGTCGGGCAGGTCGTCCTTCTCCCTGATCCACTGAGTCATGCTGCGCACGTCATCTACCGGGCCGGGGCTGGCCCAGGCAAACCACAGATACCCGTTACCCAAAAACAACTGCACACAGGACACGTGACAACCAGTCAGCTGGTCAGTGCCAGTCATTGCACTGACACCAATTGTGTATACCTCCACCCACCTTGCCACGTGAGTCCGTATTGCTGGCGTTGATGGAGGCGTCGCTGCCGGCGACCCCCACCCACTGCCTAACCTCGGGGAGGGGCACCTTTGTGATCTTGGGGTATGCACCGCTGATGGAAATGAGGAACTGCTGCACCTTGTAGTTGGCGCTGATCTGGGTGGGGTCAGCGGGCGGCTTGAGTTGGCCGTCGACGAAGGCGCCGAATCGGTGTGTGTCGTTGTGGTTGATGAGGAACAGCAGACCGCTCGCATCGCCCACCTTGTCCATCATCGTGCCGAAGTCACCACCGTCACGGCTAGACCTGATCAACCAGCCGTGAGTTGCTTCCATTCGACGCCATGGAGCCTTCGTGAGTGCCCAGCTCACTTGTACAAAAGCGACGCCCTGCATGCCGGTTTGTCGATCATGTCCAGCACACTCCCCCACTCCTCTGACGACTTGACGATGAACTCGCCACCGGGTGGCAGATGGCAGAGCGGGGCGTAGGCGATGCCGTACATCTCCATGTCCTCGATGCACAGCCGTCGCTCGCCCTCGTCGAGCAGTGGGGGGTGGATGAGCTGCGAATGCGGCATGGTCGCGATGCGCCTGGCAAACTCCACTGTGGTAATGAAATGCTTGGCGGGCGTCTGTCGGATGTGTCGGTCCGGCCAGTTCGGTGGGGTGCTGCACACACAAATGGACACAGAAATCCATAGCGATTAATCGCTTCTGCCCCCTCCTTACTCGGAGAATCGCGTGAGCAGCGGATGGTTGGCGCCCAGCCGGAGCAGCGTGCTCTTCATCATCACCACCTGCCGGCCGAGGATGGTCACACTCAGCAGCACCTTGTCGCCATCCTCAGGTGTCTTCATGAAGGGCTCCATGGCCGCCAGGAATGCCTTGATGTCCTCCTTGAGCCGCCACAGTGTCTTGAGAGGCTTTGCATAGGCGCGAATCGACCGCTGAGCAGCGTCAAGGTGCTGCTGGGTGGCCTCATCCAGAGCCGCAGTCGAATCCCATGGCTGGCCGCCTCCAGTGTTGGCCGTAACGGCATCGAGCGGTGCCTGCTGCTGGTCATCTGATGGGGAGAAGACCTTGACCTCGCGCATGAAGAGGGAGTCGTACTCGGCGTATGCGGGGTCGGCTGCCTTGGGTGCGAGGAGGGTCACCGTGTTCGCACGGCCGGTCTCGTAGAGGGTCAGCGCGTCCAGGAAGGCGTCGAAGTAGGCGCTAGACACCTCCAGATACATATGGCCGTTTGAGTCTCTGGGCAGGCCGTCAGCGAAATGCATGAGCAACACCGAGATGTATCGGTTGCGCATGAGAGGCATCAGCAGGCCTCGACGGCTCACCGGAAAGACCACCCCGCCTGCATTGCACACACGACAACAGGACACATCGGTGCATACATCAACGCACGACTGAGGTCGTCTTGCGTGTGTTGACCTGCGTTGACGAGCACCTCGCCAGTGGTCTCGGGAGGCTGCCACACGCCGCCCTTGGCTGCCACGGAAGCCATGATCTCCTCTGCCAGCTGCTTGGCGCCATCTCTGGCCCCGGTCTCTTGCTCACGAAGCGCGTCGAGTGATGCGTCGCAGTCGCTGATGAGTCGCGCGACAGATGGGCAGTCGGAAAGCGACGCTGGCATCGTCATTGTCACCACAGAAGCACAGATCTGCAGAAATTCGCAGGAATAACTCCTGGGACAAGCTCGAGCTCGCAACGATTGCGAGCCGAGGGGTTCATCGAAAGAAGCGCCAGATGCCTGTTATGGCGTCGTCGACTCGCGGCATGCACGGCCTCGCCCGCCTTCCGTCAGATCTCTGGGTGCTCAACCTCTCCGGCACACTCACCGACAAGGAGACCATGCGTCTGTCTGTCCTGGACGAGAGCTGCTTCGAGTCCATCTGCTCGTCCACCCTCGTCATCGGCCCGGCCGTCCCTCGGCTTCGGCGCGTCCTTCTGTGCTCCCATGGGCCGCAGAAGATCATTCTCGTGGTCGCCAAGGGCAAGACCAGCCTTGCGGCGGATGTGCTGCAGTTCTTCATCGACGCAATGAGGCAGCACGGCGACAAGATCAAGACCATCAAGTCGGTCCAGTCGGCATTTGACGAGAGGTCCAATTACTGGGACACTGGGAGGGTGGGCCTGCGAGGCACGCCGCGGACGTTTCCTTTGCTCACCGACATCGATGTGGGCCTTGTGCCTGTTGTCAAAGCCTTTCGTCACTTTGACTGGAAGACACCCAACCTCAAGACACTCAAGGCCAGGGTGCGCTGGCAGTGGCAGCCACTGCTGGATCTAACGCAAATAAGCAGCTTTCCTGGCGGCTTTCAACAGTCGCTGAGCCACATGCTGGCCCAATCGCCCCTCATCCGCCACATTGACGTATTCCCTCTGTCCACACTCGTCTGCGGCACGGCACTCGACACACGTGCAGACAGCCTGGAGGCGGTGGGCGACATGGTCTTCATCACACACGATCAGGAGATGGAGGGGTTCGTGGCGGGCCTGCCGAGCGTCCAGCCGCCGGCCACAAGCAAGCGCATCGGCATCTTCGACCGGAACCTGGCCTTTGAGTCGACCCTGCCGGCCTCATATAACCCGGCCGGACGGACATTCTTGCAGCTGCTGGTCGAACTGCAAAATCGCGGTACACACAGACACACACTACGGATGGAGGGGTGGGCCGTGGTATGGGTTTGTTGCCTTCATGTCAGGCTACTGCGCGCTGCCGAAAGGGCGGCTTGTCGAGCTCAAGGGAGCCCCTGAGTCTGCTGACGTGTGTCCTGCAGCGGTGGAGGGCTCCATCCGCGACATCGTCAAGCGCGCCATCTGCCAGGCCGAGACCATCGTGATGAGCTACGGTGAACAGTCGCAGCCCTGGGACGACTCCTGGGAGCTAACCGGCTCCAGTGGCCGACTGATCGTGTTCGACAAGACCAAGCATCTCATCATCAAGTGCCTCGACACACTCCGTGGCTACGTCGGTCATGATGCGGTGAGAAGGGGCAGGGGGATAGACTCGCGCATGCGTCCATCCACCATGCATCCCTCTCCCTCTCCCTTGCTATCCGTCCCGTCTTGTAGATTGCCGGTTGGACGGCTGGGGGCTGGACGAGGGTCGAGGTGCTCACCCTCGAGAGGGTCGAGCTGCAGAGCGTCAAGGACCACGTCTCTTTCCACAAGCACCGGTTCACGGCTGAGGGCGTCTACGAGAAGCCCCTCCCTCCTCAGCTCCCCATGACGCAGCAGCATGCGGCAGAGCAGGCGGCATACGCAGCTGCTGGTGTGCCCACGCCGGTGCGCCCTCCACCTCCCACGAACCACTACGTGCTCTCGGACCCCCTGCAGCGGCTGCTCAAGACCATGCCACCCACACTACACACCGTCCGACTCATCGATGTGCCCTGGTGAGTGAGTGGGTGGGCGCACACCTTGAGTCACCGTGAGACTTGTGTGGTGTATGTGGTGCACTCATTCAGGTGGGCGGCCTTCCACGCGTTTGTGTGTCTGTCTGAGGGCACGGCGGCTCAGCCAGGGGAGGGGGGCACCAAGCGTGTGTGTCTGGACGAGCTGGAGGTCCGGACGGAGGTGCAGGACAGCCCCCTGGTGGTGCCTGAGAAGGGCGGCGCCTTGTGGAGTGCCATGCAGGAGCGCCTCTCGGTCGACAACTCAGCATGGACGTCAAGACAGAGGTGCGCTGACTGCACTCATAATAAACATTTTCCTCTGCCTTCTTGGACCAAGTGTGTTCTTTTTACTTTCAGTTTTTCGAGCCTCTCACCCGTGGCTTCCCTTCCTACACGCCCGACCATTTCCGAGTGTACTACGACCTCATCCTCATGCTGCAGGCCAACGCCGTGGTGCTCACCGTCAACACGTCGCTACGTGAGTGAGAATCGACCCACAAAGGCATACATGTAGAGACTGCGTCCATCTATGTGGTCCGCAGATGCCAAGCCGGTGCTCTCATGGAGCGATGACGGAGCCGACATCGAGCCCAACGAGGCCAAGTATCCCTTCCTCAAGGGATTCACCGGCGACATCCGCACGAGATATCGCATGTGCCACTGCGGGGCCAGGGGCGACTACCGAGGCCACACAGACTGGACAGACGGCCGGATGGACGTGGTGCTCAAGAGGCGCAGGCTGGGTGACCTCAGTGGCCTGGCGGCCGACAAGTGTGCCATGCAGTAGCTCAAGTGCATCGGCCACGTTTAGATTTATCCGTATGTGTGTAGACTTGATGGCTTTATCAATCGTGTGCATAGACCTCTATCTGACGGTGACACTCGTCATCTACATAGCTATCCATTTAAGCGTTCCTGCTGTGTCGTGCCGTCACGTTGATGCGCCCCAGAGACGGTCTCATCCTGGCTGCCTGTGTTCAGGATGCCATGGGGGCCAATGTTGCATTAGAACCAGATGGGCAGAGAGAAACATTTGATATGCCATACATTCACTGGCCAGCTTAAATCCACATGGTCAAAATCCGATGACGACATGGAGCAGCACGATTAACACGACACAGCCCACTGAAGACCACCCCTTCCCCTCACGCTACGTGTGCCTGTCTCACTCATCAGCCTTCCTTCGCTCCCTTGTCTTGAAGGTGTAGTGCCTTTCCTTCATCGCACGGCGGTGGGCTATCGCAGCCTGCTTGGCGCCCTCCATACCCAGCTGACGCACAGAGAACGGCTTAAACTTCCTCTTGCCGCCCTCGTGCCAGCTGGCGATCCATGAGTTGCTGCCCTTCTGATAGCTGACGCCCTTGACGCCGCTCTGGTGCTCCGATCGCTTCTGCGTCGCCGCCCGTCCGGTGCGCTCCATCTCACGACGATGCTGCTCGGCCAACGTCTGACGGACGGAGGGACACACGCTCAGAGAGAGACAGAGGGAATGGGCGGCTTCATGCGCACCTTGGCTTTGTCGAAACCATGGTCTTTGACGTAGAAGTACTTTTGCTTCGTCTTCGGGTCGCCCTTCTCGTACCATGTTGCCCTCCAGCGCTGGTGCTCCTCCTGCCACTGCACGCCCGTCACATCCGACTGATGCTCTGCAGTTGGCGGGACATACAAACGTCGACGCTCTGATCGCGTTGAATTGGCTTCTTGGGTTCCTCACCTGATTTGGTGATGAGGGTGCCCTTAGCGCTGCCCTTCTTGTCTCTGTCGGGGGCCCACTGCCGATTGGACGCATAGACGGACGACGGCAGATCACCGGCAGGCAGCGACTCACCATTCCTCTTGACTGCCTTGGGCCTCCGACGTGGCTGGGGAGATGGGGAGCTGCTGCCGTCATGATGGTCGTCACAGCTGTCAGACTGACCGGCCGCCCGAGCCACGCTGTTCCTCTGCCGACCACCGCGGCCCATCGTTGCGTCGCCTTCTCGACGCCCATGAGGGCGGGAGGGGGGAGAGGGGTCGAGGAGCGGGTCGTCCCTGGGCCCCTTGGTGCGCTTGCGACGCTGCGGGGGTGGGCTGCAGCCGAATTGCCCCCCACGCATCCCGCCGTCCATCTGTCCCTCCCCCTGCTGTGCTCGCTGCAGCCACGACAGATCGATGGCCATCGCCCGATCGCCCCCACGCGACCAGTGGAGTGCATTGCTGTACTCCACAGCCTCACGGAAGGCCGTGAAGATGGCCTCAGGGGAGGCGCCATAGCCGACAGGGAACTGACGCAGATCGACGGTCGTCGATGTGTCGTTGTCCCAGAAGTAGGCCTCGTAAGTGTAGTTGGTCCGCCACGCAATGCCAATCCTGACACACACACACAGATGCCACTGTCAGCATGAGACCGTCAATCATGCCCTTGGTCATACTCACCCGCCTCTGTCTGGAGCAGGGAAGTCGTCCGGCTGCTCCTCCCGCATCCGCCGCATCAATATCCGAGCCAGCTCGTCGCCACACAGCCCATCCAGACTCGTCAGCTCTCGATGTGGGCCATGGTGCTCCTGGGCCCGCTTGGCGGGGCCGTGGCCGCGTGGACCGCGCTGGCGCTTCAGAGGGCGGCTGTGGTTGAGGAAGCCATCACGTCCATCACCATCGCCGTCGAGGGAGGGGAGAGAGGATGGGTCGCATGACGGGCGTTGCTTGGGACGATCGCCAAGGCCTGAAAGGGGACACAACAGCAGGCAAGATGAGAGCTAATCGTACATTGGTGTGGTCTGTGTCATTGATCTCACCTGTGTCGTGCCATGGGCTGGCCGTCTTCTTGTGTTTGCGAGGCCGCGACACCGCTGGCTTCCTCCCACGCTGCGGAGCCCTCCACTGCACCACTCGTCTCTCCTCGCCAGCCACCACATCAGTGACGATCTCAAACCGATCGTCGGTGTCCACCGATCCCGCCCGCACCACCGCCAGCATGTCCGTCAATCGCCACAGCTCCCACCCAGTGACCGTCCCGTTGGAGTCGCGATACACCGCCGCCCGCACACACAGGGGCTGGTCGGCGCCGCTCTCAGATGGCCAGCCGGTGACCAGAAAGTGCCGCCCGTCCGCCATCTTCTCGGCACTGAACTGCATGCCCTCGTAGGCCGCCCAGTACGCCTTGTGGCCGGGGTCCTGCTTGTGTCGTATCGTCCTCAGGAGCTGCCCAACGGTGTTCCTCTCGTCACCCGGACCACCTACCGCTGCGGCGGGAGAGCGATGGTTGGATGAACCGTCAGCTGGTGGGGGCGAGGGCGGTGGCGTGTCGACCGCCTTCCTATTGGCAATAGGCGAGGGGGCCCTGTCACGTGCTGACCGGCCGGTGGCGCCTTGCAGCTCCATGTGGTTGGCTGTCCGACCGCTGTCCGCGTGACGTGAGGCTACGGGAGGTGGGGGTGGGGATGCGGGTGACGTTGGACCTAAGTCAATGCACGCAACAGAGACGACAGATACGGGAGCCGACACGCTGTTCAGTGTTCTTCTCCCCCTCCCTCTCTCTCACCTGCTGCGTTGCCCGTGGG